TATTGTGTAAATCTAAGTAGAATGGCCACTTCTTGACCAGTCTATGTGGCCAGGGAGAGAAGAAGGTCTTGAAAGAAGATGGCAAGTTCCATGCAGGTACGTTGCTGAAGCATGAGGATGAGGAATAGTTCCACAAAAGAGTAGCAGCACAAACCAGGCCCAGGGGTTACTGTGAACTAGGCACCAATCCCAATTTCTACTACACAATAACATTAATGGCTTTTCTTCCATTAATTTAGCAATTACTTTTTTCCTTAACTTGCTTAAGCTGAGTCCTTAATTTGTCATTATTGGTGGTTTGAAAAACTAGACACTTGAATTGCCCAAATATATCAAATATAGAATCTTACTTTCCTAACAAGACTAGCAAACCCAATGATTTCATGACAATTCAACCAACATTTACAGAGCACTCACCATAAATGTCCAACTTACTACAAAGAGCAGAAAAGAAGCTACCAACCATTACCCTTAACAATGAGACTATGAACTTCAGTTAATAAACTAGAGGCCTGATGCACGAAATTCGTGCAAGGAGCTTGGCCCCTGCCGCTGCCTCTGCCCCAGCCCCCGCAGCTTCATCGGGAAGGTTGCCCAGAAGGTCACTCAGACTAATTAGCATATTATGCTTTTATTATTATAAATACTACTGTCCTAAACATGAGAATATGAAAGCAAAATTTAGAAACCTGAATTGTATTAATAAAAGTAATATCCAGTCTTATCTCACGAAACAATAATACAAAAAAACCCCTAATACTGAAAAGTTTTTATTTTATTTCCAAGATCAAATATTACAACAGGACATTTACATGTATTTATAAAAAAATGCAGCAGTTGAATTTATAGATCAGAGGTTTCCTTGAGTTTGGTCCCTCTCTCAGCACAGTGAGCTGATGTCTTCAAAGGACTTATCATCCCACTCCCTTCCCTCCACCCCCCACCCTCGCAAATTGTCCCACCCTGCCTCCCCAATTCAAGTTGCAGTATCAATATAAAGCAACTGGGTACAACACAGCAAGAATATTCGCAATTTGGTACAGCCAAAACAGAGGATCACCGAGAGATCCTCAATTTAGAAATTATTTACCTATAGACTATGTATCTATAGATATATCACACCCAGTTATCTAAGATTTCCCTAGTTTTAGAGCAAGTGGAAGTTCCATTGGGTCTTAGCCAGCAGTTATAGCTCTGCTTTATCTAATGGCATATTTTTCTCCTCCTCCAAGTTTTAGATTTTCTACGGCTTCTGTGTGTCTTCAAATTTAAGGCTTTCCCTAGCACCTTTATTATCACTTACTAGATATACAGGAGGGTCTCTAGTGTGTCTTGAACACAAAAATTTTAGTGAATGATCCAGTTGCCCCTTACTCACTGGTCCCAAGCCTTCTTCCCATTTTTGAGAAGAGCAGCAGATGGTACCTCCTAGCACCATGGAATTAAAAGCCCAGAAAACTGAGAACTATACATGCATTTTAGGGAGCACTTGCCAGAAACACTAAAAGAGAAGCACTATCTCTGTCCATTATCTTCTTGGATTCAATAACAAAGTTATGCTACAGATTGAATTTCGAGCCATCCTGCATTAAGAATGCAAATCTCTCACTAAGACCACCACTTTGTCCAGAATAAGTTGAGTACAAACATCCCAGAGATTTTTTAAATACCGTTAGGAACTGCTTGAGAAACACCTTAAGCAAATACCCCAAATTGACTTCACTCAAGTACCCAGCCCACCCCCATCCCTATCCCCTCCCAAAATTTAATTCCTTGATTAACCTCTCTGAGTAAGATGGGAAGTGAGGTTTGAAAAATGACATGAAAAATGTTTAAAAAATACAACTAGTGAAGACATGCCAGAATTGGACATCCCAGATGATTTAAAACACATTGTTCAAACTGAACTCACACAAAGCATGCACAGAGCCTACACACACTCCTGAGTTTCCATGGAACAATCAATACCTACTTGTAAACAGACTATTGTTTCTTCAAGGGTTAAAAAAAAAAAGATACCAGATACTTAGAAATTGTTATCAAAAGGAAAACGGTCCCAAGAAAAAGATTCTTAAAGAGTAAATAAAATTTTGTCTAACAGATTCATGCCAAAACTTGGATGGAAGCCCCTCAAAGTCTAAGAATCTTGTTAGCATAAACTGGTACCCATCTCCCTAAATCTATGACTAGATTTACTGCTTCCCAGCAGGCATTTTAAATCACCTTTCCAACCTGAAGAGAGAAACCCAGGAAAGTAACAAGGTTCAAGTCCCCAAATGGGTAAGATAAACAGCCCCTACTATAAGCTTACTACTCATTAACTAAAAATTGGAGGTCACACACTACTTCATTCTAATTAGCAGGTAAAATGAGATTTTCTGGTGGCAATGGTCACTCCATGTGAGGTTTAACTTACAGGGCAATTATCAAAGTTACTCAGAGCAGATGATTAATGTCAAAAACCTATTTATATTATGAATCACGCCATTTATTGATATTTTTCATTATTAAGAACACAGAAGCTTTGAGAAAGCATACTGCAAAACCATTTTGTTGAAAATAGCAACATATCCAACTGAGCGTCAACATTTTGATGTCATTAACTTGAAACAGATCCGGCGGCAATGCACTCTAACACCAGAGACTTTGACAGGAAGGAAAGGCAGAGTGGCAGGGAATGGTTCCAGATCAAGCATCTCTCCCTTGTCAGTTAAAATGCCCATATTGAAGCCATGAAAAAAGCAAATAAAAAAGATTTTAAGGAAGGGAGAATTCACTTCCAGGTCAGAATGTATCTAATGATTTGAAATGTTTCCCATTTTACTTACCACATCTAATAAAATGAATGATTCATGGTAGGCTCAGTTAGATTAATAAGTTATTTTAATGGAGATAAATGTTTTATGTTCAATCTAGCTTAGCTTGATTTATTCTTATTTGAAAACCCAAGTGACCTTATAAGGGATATAAATCTTAGGGCATTTTGATCTTTATAAAGGAAATACCATTCAGCAACAAAATCTTGCTGTCTGTTGCAACAAAATTAAGTGCAAGGCAACTTCCCATATGTTAATAAATATGTGACTGTTCTTAGGCAAAATATTACCATTGGTATTTGTATCTCTAACCCTTTAAGCAAATGTGGTTATTTTTTGAAAATACTTTACCGAAATGCCAAATTGTTTTATTAATGTAGTTCCTATTGGATTACTCAATCTACTTTCAGATCATATGTCAGAGAAAGGCCTGTACCAAAAATCAGGTTCATGAGAATGACTGAGGTCCTACGCAATAATACAAGAGCCTTATGTAGGCCAAAAAGGGGAGAGGGGTCTCATAGAGCTAGCCATTTTATATTTGGAATAAAAGCATTCTTAAGTAGACAGAAAATGAGCTATAAAAATGATGTTTGCCTCAAAATCTTCCTTTGTATATTTATAAAAATTTTAAAATGTAACCATTAAAAGAGAAGTGAATTTCTTAAACGTAGCCAATTTTATTAAAACCATGACTAATTTCCAGAGAATGGATGTTGAAAAATTAGGAACAGAGAATGAAAAAGTATAAAAGGATTAAAAGTTTCTAATTAAGGGTTCCATATCATTATATCCAGTAACTTTAACCACAAGTTCACTTCAACAGGAAAACTACCAAGTTAATCATAATCTCTATGAAAAATACTCTTGATTCTAAGTGGCCTCTCTAGCAGGACTGACACACAGATGAGTCAAAGATCAAAATAATCATCATGAAAATATCAAATTTCTCATAACAGGAGAAATCAACATATTGGCTTGGTATTCTCTGCTGGTTACTTTCGGGACTAAGGAATATTCTTGCCAGTATTCTAAAATGTGTACAGTGCAATTAAGTTTCATGACAATAACTGAAGTGCTAAGCAAGGCAAACCTATAGTAGTTGAATATTCACAGTACAGAGATGTCTTTAAGTAGCCTTTTCATCAAGGCATCTATTTTTGGAAAACTGCCATGTTTATCAGAGGGTTGATTCTTCCCACTCTCACTTTTTTACACATTACTTACTCATTAATCTGCATCCTATATTTACTATTAAGTAGTTAAGTGAAAGAGGGCAAGAAAGAGAGAATGACACAATGGAGATACACTGTGTAGGATAAGAAATAGTTTTAAAAGTCAGCCTAACTGAATTTGAAAAAGCTGTTTCTGCCAAAAGTAAAGTTTACAACTTACACAAAACGATGTCCTAACAATTGCTCAGTGAGTGAAGTGCTCTGTTTAAGCACACAGGTAAAATAAAACTTAACTCTGGTGTCAGTGAGATATTTGGTTCTCATTAATTACATTTTAGTCATACTCAACAATGTACAGGAATACTGCATTAAGTTTTTTAAATTAATAAATTGTGTTTAAAAGATCATTACTAGATCTATAACCATTATACTCTCCTTTTTGTAGATTTCAGTCAAGTGAGGTTAGTTATTAGGCAAATGAAACCTGGACACAAAAAAAGCAAAGGAACTGATTAGCAAGTATACTTTTAATTAACCTAGGGATAATATATAATAAAGAGACTAGAAGCATAAAATTTTGGAGTGGAAAGGACTTCAGAGATCATCTAATTCAGTGATCTACAATCTGTGGGTTTCTAGAGTTTCTGCAAGAGTCTGCAATTCCATATGCACATTTACATTTTCTCCATCAATGAAATATTAATACTTAACTCCATAGTTCCCCATCTCTGCCATATTTTAAAATCACAAGTTCTTTTACTTGAAGAGACTAAAACTCTTGATCTAGTCCAATATGCTGTGAAGTAGTAGCAGAGCTATTACCCAACTGCACTTATGCCTATATACAGTGCCCCTTCTGCATATCATATCATATATAATATATATTTAATTTGTACCTAGGTAGAGAAATTCAATCTTTCCTTCACTTTCAGTTGCTAGTGGCTCCTTCTAGTATTTTCCTAAGAGTTCAAGTGAGATCCCTGCTAGCTAAAATTTTAGTCCTGGGCATCAATAATCCTTTCCTTTTTGTGTATTAGATATGCCTTACTAATAAACGTCATGCCCTAAGTAGTTACAAAAGTTGCAACTAAAGAATACAGGTGAGTCAAAAGAAAATTTGAGCTACAGTATTTGCCACTTTCTAGTTTTACATTTTTGTGAAGACTGTCCTAACTGAAGCGTGTACTATTCGTTCCCCTTTCTAAATGTCTACTGCAATTATAGTTCAGTTCCAGACATGTAAGCATTTACAGTTCTCCAGTTATCTCATGTGTAGTGTTTCTCCAACTGGGTAAACCAGGCAGGAACTACATCTTAGATTTCAAGATGTTTCCAACTTTGATTAAGAACTCATTAAATTACTGGCTTACACAGTCAAGGAAGGAGAATTTTACAGATTATTTTAAAAGATATACATAAAAGGATTTAATAATCTGGTATAGGTGGGATGCAGAAAAGATAGTTATATCTTTTCTGAAAAGTGGTTTAAAAAAAGATAAAATTCTTTTTTACCTTTCTATTTATTCTTAGCAAATAATGCCACATAGTTACTTTCCTTTCACATTTTTATCAGTCCATCATTTCAAGAAAACAATAATCAGTCCCTCAAAATAATGGGAATTTATAGGCATAGCAGAAATCCCACCAGCTTTACGGAAACATAACCAAATGATACCTTACAGAGCCAATCAAAAGAAATACAACTTTCAGACTGATGCCCCTGTTAGAGGAGATAGCAGCATGGGAGTGAAAAGAGCATGGACTCTGGATGCCAATTTTGATTTTGCCACGTACTGGCTGTGGCATCCTGAACAAGTTCTCTGAACTTCAATTTTATTTCTTATCTACAAAACAGGGGAAATGTTCATTTTATGGAGTTCTTATAAAGATTAAGAGAAAATGTGTATAAGGTAGCTACTACATGCTAATTACTCAAAATTAGTTCCATATCTTCCCTCACTTGACTGTTCTTTCTCTTCTCTGGTTTCTTCCTAAATCAATTTCAAAAGAGGTTTCCTGTCATTCTCCCCCCCGCCCCCACTAGTTTTCATTTTATCTCCCTGTATTTGTCACATCACTTATTCTCAAAACCTACCTTGTTCTTTTCCTCAGTACCTTTTATCTCTTTCAAGCTGTTCCCAATACCTACAAGGAGACTATTTTAAACTAATTTTTAATTATCTTACTAACCTCATTTAATCTATTCAATAAAACTTCTCCAAAAAGCAAAGGAACTTGCAGAGAAAATAAGACAAACTGGAGGAAGTATACTCCCTAAGTGGATTAAGTTCTTGAGTAAAGCAATATTCCTTATTCACTCTTCCCATGTACAATCTATAATCCCTCCATTCCATTGGCCTCTATATCAAGCCCAGAATAATTATACTCCTGCCTCAAAGTAAAATAAACACCTTTAGATCTTATACTCTAAACATCCCAGCTGTCTCTGAGTCAATATCTCATGCCCCATCTCTTTAATATGCTTACTTAAATCCCTTTATATATATACTTGGTCATTTCACAGTTGAAAAAGTCACTTTGGTTTCTCATGCTTGGATATGCTAGGATTGAGCTTATCAAAAAGAACTACATCCTATCATTAATGAGCATGTTGTCTCAGGTTCCCTAGGTATGTTTTATAAAAAGAAGCTAACAGGTAAAAGAATAAAATAGAGTCCTACAGGGAAAGTTCTTGACTTCACATTTTTGACAGATTTGGGCTTTAGCTGTGACTTTGCTGAGTGGAGATAGGTGCCATCATAGCACCCAACCTGGGCGTACCCTCACTTCTTACCCTGTACCTCCCTGAATTTTTAGATTCTTGACCTTGTCTACTACCAATAGTCTTTTTACCCTCTAATGCATCTTTGATAGTATACAGCTCTATTCCTTAGATAGTAAGTCTATTATCCAAGTTCAGATACAACTGAGGAATTAACATGAAAACCATTATTTCCTCAATAATTCAAAAGCTGCTAGTTAGCCTCAAGAGTCTATAAAAAAACACCAAAGTGGTATTACTCAGTCACCAATCTAAAGAGAGAACTTTGACTCAAGATATAAATGAAACTGTAATTATATAAATATATTTATAAATATTTATACAATTATATACTTATACATAAGCACTTACACACACTTAGAAAAAATGTAAGAACATTAATCCAAAAGGACTCACTGAAGAATAAACAGAATTTTCCATGATTTCCTTGAGGAGAAACATTACTCATTCTTTAGGGTAGGTCCCTCAAAATTCAACCATTAGAAATCATATTCTCTAATTAAGTACTAGCAACACATAAGCATGTTTTTTTAAAAACCCCTAGTTACCAAGAGAGTGATCTTAAAATAGATGGGAACTTAAAAGGTCTCTGAGCAATAGCAATTTATGTTCCTCAAGTAGAAGGATCAATCTAAATCCCCAACTGATTAAATAAGGTCCATTTTATATTACGGTTTTATAGCAAGTTAAAGTTCTGATTTTGCCACCAGAATCATCACTACCCCATCAGAAGACTAACGCTCAAAATAAGAACTAAGCATATAATGAAGCTGATACGTTGAGTAGTGTTATGGAGATTCAAGATGGCACCTTCTCAACAATACTGAAAAAAGCTTTCACCAACTACAATTTGAATGTGGCTTTTGTAGGCAAAAAACCCCCACAACATCTGAAGACTACTGGCAATCTTCCCCACAACCCTTACTAAATGCTGTCTTAAGGATTTAATTTAAAGGTTTTCCCCTTAGGCTTTCAATTTTGAGACCTTTTGCAAGAAACAGCATGAGGATTTAAGCTCATTCAGTCACCAGAGCCTTTAGAGACTGTTCAACCAGGGGTAATAAATGAATCATTTTTTCTAACCAAAGGAATATGGTTAGCTACTCTCAGCTGCATCTTTTTCTTTTTCCCCCAGGATATACATAAGTATGCGTAAAGCACATAGGACAATCAATAACCATAGTGGTTAAACTACAAGCCACTGTTTGCATGATTATTGAATAGCTGCCTTCCTATAGATCACTTGTGGACCCAAACAATGGAAGGGCCGAAGGAACTAATATGCCGTACTGGCAAAAAAACAGCAAGCACCTTCCTATCCCAGTCACCACAATATGCTCACTAAAGGTCCACTCTGGGACTAGCGGGATCAATATAGTTTATAGAGTAGTAATGAAGAAAGTTGTCTCAGGCTAGGGTATTGAATGCCAACCCACGCTACTCACCCAACATTTAACACTCATTTTGCCAATAACACATCTCATGGAAATAATTCTAGCTTGGGAGGGCGGGAATCCTTCGAAATGATTTTTAAATGAGATGAATAATTATTACAAGGGATGTTTTTTCCATGTAAATAAAAGCCTGGATATTCTGTTGTGATATTTGTTATATGAACAACAAAACAAAACATGTTAGAGAATTGATTTTTCCTACTAAAAACAGGGCTTACAAAAAAGGGAGGTGGTTCTTATTCTGAATCTAGCCATTCCTTTACCAAAGGAGTCTGAGGAGTAGTAACATTATCATTTGATCCCAAAAAAGTGCCATGCAAGAGACCACTTATTGGAACACTCATTTCCTGCGGCCAGTACTGGGAGGTGTTATCCTTATACTTCCATTTGGTCACCTGATTAGGTAAGAAAGAAAGAAAAGTAGGAAAAAGACAAAAATAGGATAGGAGAGGGAAAAAAGGGGTAGGAAGTGAAAAAGACTTATTACAGGAGAGAGCAAGGAATAAAAGAGAAGGCAGGTGACTTGCTTGCCCAACTTTGGCTCTATGGTCCTATGAACCAAAATGCATACTCAGTGACATGGTATCTCACAGGAAAAGGGAAAAAAGGGGTAAGCTGAGAGAGGTCGGGCCATGATGTTAATTTCTTTCCTGTACAAAGACAGTCTCTTGAGGACAAAGGCCTGCCTCTTGTAATGTAATGTCATAGTCCAGATGAGAGAGTTTCCTTCGAGGGAAGTTGGTGAGAAGTTCAAAACGTTCATTTGGATATCCTTTAGACTGGACATGCTTCACCAAAGCCTATGAAAAACAAAAGACAGGACTGTTAGATGGAAATAGAGCATATTAAAGAATTACAGATACTATATCATTCATTTCAAAAAGATAATTTTTATATGTTTTCATTGGTTTTAGAGAGACAGGGAAATGGAGATAGAAACATTGATGAGAGAAAAACATTGATTGGCTGCTTCCTACAGGCCTCCGACCTGGGATCAAGCCCAAAACCTAGGCATGTGCCCTGACCAGGAATCGAACTGGCAGCCTCTTAGTGTTTGGGCCAACACCCAATCACTGAGCCACACCAGCTAGGCAATATAACATTTTTTTTTAAAAAAAAAAAATGTTTTATTGATTTGAGAGAGGGAGGAAGGGAGAGGAGAAAGAAAAACAGAAACATCAATAAGAGGGAAACATCAACATTGATTGACTGCCTCCTGCAGTTGTGGGAATCAAGCCCACAACTCAGGCATGTGCCCTGACCAGGAATCTAACCCTGACCTCCTGGTTCATGAGTTGATGCTCAACCACTGGGCCACACTGGCCAGGCTAACATCAAGTTTTATCACATTAGATAAAATATGAAATTTAAGTTATTCTTTGAGATAACCAAAGCTTACTCCTTTGGAAGGGCCAATATAACACTTTGAATGGGGAGATAATAAACATACATTAAGTGATACTGAAATATACAGGGTTATTACTATTTTCTCAATAACAAACCCACTATCTATTTATAAAATTATTGTCCTCAGTTTTAAACATTTGATTAGTTTTTCCCTTCCATCTTTTTATCGACAAAGATGTGTCTTTCATTCTACCTATAGCCAATCTTGCCACCTGTGTACTAAGTCTCTTCTTGCCTTCTCAGAAACCATGCCACTACCGAACATCCCTGCTTTTATAGGTATCGTCTACATCTCCCTCTCTACAGATGCTTCCCATCAGACTTTAAACATGCTCAGTCTCTCCTTCAATCATCCCCCTCCCCCTCTAATTACTGCATACCCCACCCCTCTCAAGCTGCACAACCAAGTACTTCTCAAAAAAAGTTCCATCCAATGTCTCACCTCACATTCCCTTCCAAATATGAGACCTGGGAAACAGTCTGGGTATCAGCACCAGCAGCTAGACCCGACTTGCATTCCAGGCACACAGTCTTCAAGAATCACTCTCTCTCTCACCACAGAAAACAGCCAGGTAAAAATACCTGACCCAAAGCGGATTCATTCACAGGTATCGGATAAAAAGATGGAAGTGACTCAAAAAGCTAGTCAGACTCTTTCTCTTTTCCAGGAGTTAAAAACAACAGGAAAGGTCCATGAGCTGTGAACTTTAGAGGAAAAGCCCCTCAGCATTACTATGACGTGGACCATGTACGCACTCAGAGGTAAACAAAAGCCACCAGTATACAGAGAGAAGAATGGTATGAAGCAGAGAATTACAACGGGGAAACCAAACAGGCCCGAGGACAGAAACACAAAAAACAACTGCCTTGGTTCTTAACTATTTTGTAGGTCTAGCTACAAGAAAGCCAGAAGCCCCATGATAGTCTTCACTCCTCTTTTCCGGGTAATAATTTCCAGTTGGAAAATGAAATGCAGCCATGGAATAGAACAGCCTTGTCTGGAACAGACCCTATGTGACTTATCTAACATAATTCAGGAAGGAAATATACTAATTAGAATTCAGATTAACCTGTTAAATTTCCTTAGAGGTCAGACTGATTACCTAACATTTATTTCAAAGAACAAGCCAATTCACCAATTCATTAGTTTCTCTCCTTTAAGCCAGCACTTAAATTAGATATACTTACTAGCAATTTAGCTTGCTCTGGAAGAGTGATTTGTTCCCTTTTTCCATCTGGATACCGCAACATCAGCTGTGCTTTTGGTCCTGGGGTTAAAAAATATATATATACAGGAGTTTAAGATGGAAGACTAATTAAAACAAATAAATATACATTCCTTCAGTAATATTCAAGTTTCAAGTAAAGTAGGTCCAGAACATAACTCACCATTTACATCTATGCCCTCCACTATTCCATCTGATTTTTCAGGTGACATCTCCAATATTTCTGAATCCATGACTGACAAACCTTGGTGGTTTGTTGTTGTTACAGGCTCAGTTCTGGGTGGGGGCTCAGTTAGCAGCCTTCTGTTTTCCTCTTTTCTATGCCCCAAATCTTTATGGGGAGATTTTCTGGACTTGGCAAGATTCTCTATCTCCTCTTCTTCATCAGAGCCGCAAACAGATATAAATTCCTCACTGCCAGAAAAAAGTTCAGATTCAGACTCTTCATCTGAGCGGCTATCCTGTTTTGCCTGTGATGAATCAAAATGTGTCTCTTGCAAGGAGGCTCTGATGGCAGCTTCTAACTGGCTGTCTTCACTTGCATCTATAAGACTCTCCTGCAAGACGCAGTCATAAAACACAGGTGGAAAGAGAAAGAAAACAGTTAAACCAAAAAATAGTCAAGCCAGACAAGGCACAAGAAATATGATAGTTTGCCATTATTATTCTCTACTACTAATAAATGTATCTCTTCTACTAAATTTTCGGCTAGTTGAAGGCAACACTTTGTCTTACACAGCCAAGTTGGAATGGATAGTTTAAAAACAAAAATAAAAACTGTCATACCACCTAGCATAATGATGTTGCAAGCATAGGGGAATTTTTTACATCAAAATGAATAAAATTAAGAACACAGTATACTGACTACCCAGAAAAAGACAAGAATTAAGGTTTTATATATAAAGCAAAAACACTAGTCTTTAATATGACTATACACTGAATGGCCTGATTATTATGACTGGCCAGATAATTATGACCACCCCATCAGTACTTCGTTGGGCCACCTTTTGCCTTCAATACTATGGCGATTCTTCTTGGCATTGACTCCATGAGATGTTGAAAGGTGATGCGAGGAATATGACACCATGCCTGATGAATAGCACTGTCCAGTTCTGTGAGATTTGATGGTTGTGGAACCAGCTGCCTGATGGCTCTTTTAACTTCGGGACTGGCCCTCTAGCAACTTCAGTGTGAAATTATAGCTAATTTGCCTACAAACATCAGGTGGTCATAATAATCTGGCCACTCAGTGTACAAGGAAGCATTATCTACCTTGCTCACCATTATATTCTTCAATTACCATTGTTCTGCCACATAGAATATATCAATTAACAACTCAGTAATTATCGTTTTGCAAAAAGAACTAACAGATCTCTAACATTCAAAACAAAATACCATACAATAAATTGGGAAAAACCACAACTATTATTTTCCCAAGCTTAATTACAATAAGATTTTCATTGTGATGATGAGAAATGCAAATCAACTAGTTTTTCTTTTGGTAAAGTTCTAATGCCACAGATTTCACTAAACTTATTCAGTCACAAAATATGGGTCATTTGCCAAAGCAATTTTGACAAAGAAGAAAAAAACTGAAGGTGTCACACTCCCTGATTTCAAACTGTTTTCCAAAGCTGTAGTACTTAAACAGTATGGTACTGGCATAAAAAGACACACAGAACAAGGGAACAGCATAGAGAGCCCAGAAATAAACCCATGCTTATATGGTCAAATAATCTATGACAAAGGAGGCAAGAATATACAAGTGGGAAAAGACAGTCTCTTCAATAAATGATACTGGGAAAGGTAGATATTCACATGCAAGAAAATGAAACTAGACCACTTTCTTATACCATATACAAGAATAAATTCAAACTGGATGAAAAGCTTAAAGGTAAGACCTGATATATCAGATAAGGGGTTAATATCCAAAATATATAAGGAATTCATACAACTCAACATCAAAAACACAAATAATCCAATAAAAAATGAGCAGAGGACCTGAACAGACAGACATCTCTCCAAAGACAAACAGATGGCCAATAGACACATGAAAAGATGCTCAACATCCTATCTAATAATAGAGAAACATGGTAATTAGCCGTACCTCCACTTCCCTTCCCATTGGCTAATCAGGGCGATATGGAAATTAACTGCCAACCAAGATGGCAGCCGGCAGCCAGGCAGCTTGAAGCGAACAGGAGGCTTGCTTGCTTCAGTGACGGAGGAAGCTGACGTT